TTAAAACCTTTTTTCGAAGAAAGATTAGACATGATTAATCCCTAGTTGAGATATAAATCTCCTACCCTATGACATTGTTGAGAAAGATGTTGATTCTTTTCCACTTGAGAGAGGTATGTGGCATACTTGTTGATTATATATTTAAGTTGAAGCCCTTCTCTCAATGTGAAGCAAAGATCATTCTTCCATATGTTTGTGGTGGTTTAGATGAGTATTATCCTTAAGATGGTAACTTGTCTCTTCTTCATTAAAATCCACCATAACAAACCCTTTTTAATTTGTACCCCGAACTACGAGGTTTTGATCCTTCATTGGTACGTAGGCACAAGACTTCATGTCTTGCCAAACACAAAAATAATAAAAAACACTTCTCTTCTCATCTCCTCAATATTTTCTTAGCAAACATTTTTAACCTAACACAAATACAACAAGAGGTTCCTATAGGATACTAAGATACTTAGGATGCTAATACATTTCCTTAGTATAACCAACTCTCGTACCTTAGATCTCTTATTTGCTTAGCCTTTAGTCTTATCTTTAGATTTGCATACATACTTTGAGTTATTTGATATTTTCCCCTTCCCTTGGATAAATTAAAGTTCAGTGGTGACATTTTGTTTTGTGAGTCATGTTAATAAATAGCTTGATCTATGATTCTCACCGCGACAGTTCCCTTCATGCATCACCCTTAAAGAGTCAAATATGTATTTAGTAGTGTCTCTTTTGGTGATTTTTTCATGCTCAATATATGAAATAACATTTAGCAAGATGGTCCATGATTTGTGATGACTCTTGTGATCTTTCTTCTATTGGTCTGTCACCACTCTTCTTTCAACGTTTTTGCGAATTACATATATTGGGTGCACATAACCATCAACTACCATGTCTCATAGGTCAATATCATGACCTAGAAATAAGCTTTCTATTCTGTCTTTCCATAGTCAAATTTGTCTCCATCAAAAACAGAAGGTTTAGCATGATGGTGATCTCTATCATTTGTTTGAGCAACTGGAAGTGGTGGAATATCAGCCATTGTGTTTCACATTAGATCTTTATATGACATTGTTGAGTGTTTGATAATCTTATCAAGACCAGAACTAGAGCTCTGATGCCAATTTAAGATGGAGAGAAACACAATAAGGGGGGAGTTTAAATTGAGTTTCCAAAAACAAAAGCTTTTTCAAAACCAACTTAACAATAAAAAACACAAACAATAAAAATAACAAGTTATTTTATACTGGTTCACTATTAACAAAGCTACCCTCAGTCCACCATACCAAGGTGATTTTTCCTTATCAATAAGGACTTAATCCACTATAACCAAAACTTATTACAGTCACCACAAAGATAAACTGTCTTTGTCTTCTCGAGTATCTCTGACTAAACCCTAGTTAGTAAAGGAAACCACTCAAAGAATATTGAGATTTACAAGTTGTGTTTACAAAGAATTCTTCTTAGAAAGCAGATTAACACAAGTTAATACAATAAATATCTCACACAAATAACGAGCAAAAAATGTTTGTGTGTTTACAAAGAATATACACTGAAAATAATATTACTTGAGCATTGTGTGTATGTTCAATAACATGATTAGTATCTGCATTAACAACTTCTTCTAATCGTCTAAATCTTCTTTATATAAGAAGATAAAAGATCTGTTGGAGGGTAGAATTGAAATAACACAATGCATTTGCCTCTTTCATAATGGTTTGCAAATGGGAGGCAAAATGGTACAGTAATACTGTCCTTAGCCCATAAAAACAAGGTAGTGGAATGAATGGTGATCTTGTACTCTGTACTATTTTCATGACGCAAAACCTTTTGAATTTATCTTCTAATATTCAGAGCCTTCTAATAAAATGATGTTGAAGCATGCTTAGAAGGATCAAGAGACAATTGAGAGAATCTTCAGAACCTATGGTCTTAAGAGTCTTGACACAATTCCTCATAACCTGATCTTCAAAGTCTTTAGATCTTGCTCTTCAGAATCTTCAGATAATCCTTCAGAGGCTCTTCAATCAGAGTCACAGTCAGAAGCTTTAGCATAAATATTTTTCAGAACTGTTGTCTAAGAGCTTTCTGAAACTTGACAGCATCTTGTAAAGCACTTGTATCTCTTCAGAGTTAAAGTCTGTTGATTCTAGAATCTGATGATGTTACACGTTGAAACTTTAGAGCTATAACCTGTTTAGGAAAAGTTATACACTAGACACAAACCATTAGTGTACAAAATTGTTCTCTAAGAATCAATGTATTACTATCATTAAAACTAAAAGCCAACTGCATAATCAAATATTGGTTTAATAATTACTTGCGTCATGGTTAGATAAATAGGGGTTAACTTCCTCTTCAGAAGAGTTACCCGCAGCAATGACACCCGTCGTGTAGAGCCAATTATTCATAACATTAACCCTTACTTTTTTAGGGTTAGGCAAATGAATAATAACTTTGTTGCGAATTATCACCGTGTAGGTGTTTCCTTCAACTGAAATCATGCCTTTATGCATAAGGGCATCCATGTCAATCTTATATTTACCCTCCACTAGACGGTTCTTTTCCAAATTAAATTCAAGCCAGATGTGCTCGACAATTTGGGTAATCAAACCCCCCCACCGAAATTCTTCTAGAGGCCGCGTGATCAACTATCCCCAAATAGTTGGCCGCAAAGGCGACGATATTAACCAGGTTATTATTAATGATGTAATGAAGAAAATCTCTCTTTGGGGGGCTACATCTGTGCTATCACTTTGCCCAACACAAGGTGTAAGCAAAAGCCTTTTAGGCGTATCAAAAGCAAGGGTTTTAGATGGTGGAGGTTCTTTATCCAGTAGCAGTATAAAAGCAATCAATGGTAATATCGGCCTATAAGTTCTTAACATGAAATTCGTCTGGGACATCTCTAGGCCCATAGATAGGTAATCTGAGAATGTGTCCCAATTATTCAGCATTCAACTCAAAATTTTGATTAAACAGACAAATTTTGAGAGTGCCATAATAGTACCCCATAACGTCTTTCCACTTTTCCAACAATTTAAAATCTAATGTACTAAAAAACTCAACAGTAATGCGCTTATAAGTTGGCGCTTCCATTTGCATGAACTCTAACAATCCAATGGAATGAAACATTTTATCTATTTTGATTTTTAAACTGAGAGTAGAAAAAGTGTTTCCACACATGTACCTTATTCGTGTGAGTTTTTGCTTGATCAAAGCGAAATACCATTTGACTCGGTCGTCATTCTCGAAGACGATGTTGTGAGGATTTAAGGCTCTAGTTCTCTATCTCTTTTTGGGTCTCGAGGATTTAGAAACTTGCTTTCCTTTGTTACTTCTTTTTGGTGCCTTTGTTGATGAAAGTTGATAAATTCAAATTTAGCTTTTTGAGAATTTTGCGCTCGTAAGTGTTATAATGGTGATGATTGGTAAAGGTTTTGTGAAAGTGGTCTTGAAATTTTATGGTGAGAAAAAAGGTAAAGATCGAAGCTTTTTGTTTGATTTTTAAAGGAGGTTTAAGAGGGTTGTGGGGAGAAAAATTGAGAGAACGGTGAAGATGAAGAGTTTGGAGAGAGAGATTTTTGGTAAAGTGATTTAAAAATCAAATTTTGAAAGTTTAAAGGTGAGATAATGAGAATGATTGTGTGAGAGAAAGGTAGGTGTGGCCAGAAGAAAATGGGAGAAAAATTTAAAAATTTGAACCTTAAGGCGTTGGTGCCTGCTATGGTCGCCTATAACAGGTCCCTGGAATTTATATGAGTTATTTTATTTGATTTTTAGGGTTTTTGGAGGAGGGGCGATTATGACCAGCAACAGGTGTTATGGCAGTCCATAGTACCTCCTTAATTTTTGTATGAGGATTTTGTTTTTCTTGTGGTTTTGTCGAGTTTTTCCGTGCACAGTTTCTATATCGTTTTTTCTCAATTTTTTCTGCTTTTATCACTTAGGTCTTTTTTTAACTAAAAAAAAACCAAACAAAAAAAAAACAAATTAGTACGGAAAACATAAGTTGTCTCCCACATAACACTTTGTTTAACTTAACCTCGTGGACTGTCAAATTCAAAAGAGTGCTTTCTTCAAACTTGAGTCCCTAGCATCTCCCTTAGCTATTTTTGAGGTCAACTAATTCTATTCATCTATGTCATACGTCATTCTTTTTTTTTCTTCCTCATTCTATTTTAGATTCGATTTTTCATAAACTTTCTCTTTCACTCCTTTCTTCTTCTTAGGTTTACCTTACTTCAACTCTAGTAATTTTAAGAATAACAAAGACACGGCAAAAAAAATTGTAGATATTCGTACTATTATATGTTAAAAAAAAATATAAGTCAAAATATAAAATATATTAATATTTAATATTGTCTATGTGATAAAATTTATAATGTTGTTTACGTGATAAAATTTACTATGAGTTTACCTATTTTATAAATTTGAGGACTGTGAGATTCTAATTAGAATATAAGTATTTTTTAGGTTGCATTTGTTATGAATTTTTTTTAAGAAAAAATATTTTTAAAATATAAACTATTTTTATTCTTTTAACCGTGTTCATTTTGTTAAAAATAATTGTTTTAATTAAGTTAAAATTTAATTCTAATTGTTTTCTAAAATATAGTTTTTTTAAACAAAAAACTTAAAGTTAAGAATTGATTTTTTTAAAAATTGTATAATGTATAAAAAGGGAAATTGCTTTAAGATTTAAAAAAATATTTAATTTTTAAAAAATAATAAAATACACTTTAAACAGTGTTTTTGTTTAGCTGGAGTTGATTTTACCTTATTTAAAAGTGTTTTTCTCCTCACATATTTTTCCTGTAATTCTCTCTTTTTGGGCTTGGGCCCAATATTTATTTATTTCTAATATAAAACAAAGAATAACAAATTTGAGAAAATAAAGGAAATAGAAATTGAAATGAGAATCACTGTTCCTGCTCCCAAATCCTAATTTCACAAAAAAAACTCGCAGCAACGTGATTTCGTTAGCGAGTTTCTCACTGACTCGCTACATGACTCAGCGCACATTTTCTTCATCGTCTTCCTCAATCAACAAATTCGACGTCTTCAATTTCGACGACGAAGAAGAAAACATCGAGAAAGTTTCTGAGAAGATGATTGGAAAATTCAAAAACCCTAACAATCCTACTTCCCCTCCCATTTCAAAATACCAATTCCTCGAGGCTTGTAAGTCACCCATTCCTCTTCCTTTTTCTTCAATTTCGATTCGTTGTTTATGATTGTTCGGTTGTTCGTTGATTCTCGCAGTTGCGCATGGTTCACAATCTGAACATCAATCAAAGCACTTTCCTGTTGAGCCAATTGATCTCGATGATGACTTAGGTTTGTAATATGTATATGTATCATTCATGCAAACACTTTAGTACATTTGCAATTTTGTGATTTTGGTTTACTTTAATTGCACTCAATTTCTGTGCGATTTAGAAGATGATGAAGAAGAAGGCAAATTCACAACAGAAGAAGTTTTCAACCAGCCGTTAGAGGTCGACAATGTTGACGATGTTGAGGATGATGATGTTGATGATGTTGACGATGTTGAGGACGATGATGTTGATGATGTTGACGATGTTGAGGACGATGATGTTGACGATGTTGGGGACGATGATGAAGTTGAGGAGGATGATACCTGTATTGATAATCAAGCCAAAAATGCTAATGCATGTTCAATTGATTCGTCACTGCAATATTTTGCAGATAAAGATGACAATGGTTATGCTGAGTTTGAAGATAGCTACTTTGACTTGAAAGTAATTACTCATGCTGGTTATTGATTTTTTTTCTTTTTCACTTGATCATATTTTTTTTCTTTTTCACTTGATCATATTTTTTTTCCTTATGTAGAGAGCTATTGTTTAGGACTGTTGATTGATTTTTGTTTCAGAATCAGTCACTTCATGCACTTTCTGATGATGAGGACGAAGATGATGATGATAGTAGTGAAATGGGCGTCTCTTCAAATTCTACTTTTGATCCTTCAAACTTTGAAGGTGTTTTTATTCAAGCTTTAAGATTTGTTTAATGACATTTAGAATTCTTAATTATATAATCAGTATTAAGCGTCTCTTATTTTGTACTGGTTTCCTATTTATGAATTGTTTTTCTTGTGTTTTCAGATTGCTTTGAAGACGAGTTAGTGAAGGCTGACTGTTCTGCATTTAAAATTGTAAGTGTAATTTGTAATGTTTTTATGATTAATTGCTTGGTGGTTTTACCTATCTGCTTATGGCTGTAATCTGTGGAGGAAATATGTTTAATCTTCTGCTTTAGGGGTGAGTCAAATAAAAGAAAATGTTAACATGACATGTTAAATGATAGTGATTTGACCGATCAAGAAACATAAATTAGGTAGGTGGGAGAGAAGTATGAGAAGGGGAAGACAATAAGCACAAGTGCATTGTAATAAAAAAAGTTGATTTCTTTCTAATTTTGATTTGTTGTTGATGTTGAAACACAATTAGTCATCAGATAATTTGTTAAATGATAAATTTGGGACATTTAACTTAGAAGAAGTGTAGATGGGAAATAATAAAATTAAATGATCTGAAGGCAGGTGTAATGTTTTGCAATGGAATGTTATTCTGCATTTCCTTGTACCTTTTCACTTAAATTTTTTTTCTCTCTCTCGTTTGACTCCTGCAATTGGTTTGGACAGCTTATATGATCTAATCTGGTTACTCAGTCTCTTTAAAAAACAGTGTGTCTGAACAACTAGATTTTAGCTGTATAAGGAAGTTATAGATTTTCAACTGGAATTTATTTTTATTTTGTGCTCAATCTTGTTCTTTTATGCATTGGAAACATAGAAGTTTATAAGACATGGACATCTTATTTTTTAAAAATGTTGATTTTTCTGGTTAACCGTCCGACTCTTTTCAATGTGCAGGATGACATAAAAAAGGTGGTTGATGTCCTCCCTGATTTTATTCAATATGAGGAGTTATATTCCACCAGTTCTCGGTTAATATTCACGTGCAACTCCATTAAACTTGAAGGCCCAACAAACAATCATACTGGGGAACCTTTTAAAATTGAGTGGGAAACTGAAGATATTATAAAAATTGAATCACGTTGGTTTGAAAAGGTAAATTGCTTAGTTATCATTATTATTTTTTTACATTAATCCGTTAGTGATAAATTTGATTGTCGTCTGTTTTGTCTGTAGATTGAAACAGCATGGGTCTACCTTTTCTTTAGATCAAAAGATTTTGAAGAAGTTGAGATTACAAATGAAAAACCAGGTGTGACTGCTTTTTAAAATAATATCAGTGATCTTTTTAATACTTATGAAAGATCTAATATTTTAGACCGTTTATCTACTTACTAGTGACACTAGCAGGTTTACTGTAATAAATTGTTTGCCTAGTGTTTGCTTAGTTAACTTGAATAGCTGAATGAGCAAAAAATAAGATTATTTCTTATTTCTTATTTCTTAACTTGCTTGGATTTTATAGGTTTTACTTTAATGTAATTGTAAGCTGATTGTGTTTTTGAAAAATCCGCCATAGCTGAAGGTGTATTATTGTGGATTTAGCCTCTGGTTCTCGGCTTTGGAAGACTATAATGAATACAGATATTTTTCTGGGCCTACTATAGTTTAGAGCCAAGTTAATTGCTTAAACGGCTGTTGCTGTTAATGTTCAATAGATAATACTCAACCGATTTTTTGCTCCTTATTCACTTATTTTTAAATTTAGGAATGTTTATAGTTACTTTTACATTTCTATACAAATGCCCATATGTATATGGGATGCTCTGACTCATCACTTTTCATCTGAATTAATATTCATGCAGGCTTTAAGCTGTTGAAATTTGCAGTTTATGATTCATGTTGGTCCAGGGCTGAGGAGGCTATCAAATTATTGGATATGAGATACACAAATATCTGGAGTACAGTTTTTGAGTAAGAACTTTATTTTTTAAACACATGTTTGCAAAGTATATTTTGCAAGTTAAATGATGTTTGCATTACTACCTGAATCAAATATGTTTTTCGGGAAGCAACATTCAAATTGTCTCGTCATCACTGATAAAAGAAATGAAAAGCAAAGCTGAAAGGGTATATTGGCATCATGCGTTCTTTTTTATTTAATGTTTGATTCAATAGGATATTCATTTCCAAGATAGATGTTAGTTCGAGGAATGTATCCAATAATTATTTTAACTCTTTGTAAAAACATTTCCACTGATGTTTCTCAAATACATCTTTTACTAACTAAAAACACAATTATCATATAGGTACGACGCATCTTTGTTATGCCTTACTAATTGTTGACACAAAGTTGTGTGTTTTTGACTTTTTGTTACACATTCTTAGTAGAAAGAATATATTCTGATTTAGGTGGGGGAAAGATATATAACTATGTCAACTTGTTATGATCACAAGTATTTTTTCTCTATGTAAATTGTTATAACTTATAATTATATATTGACTAGTGACTTTAAAGCACAAGCGCTCCAAATTCATGTCGTACCCAGTATTTGTGGATAAGTATTGAGTATGAACCAAAATTAAATTTTAAAATAAAAAAGTGGGTACTTCATTTGGGTAATTGTAGGTGTTTTTTTAACACGTACCCACAGTCTAATAAATAAATATAAATTTGTCTTTCACTATAAAAAATTAGGTTTTCTTATTCTTTTTTGAAGATGTTGACTATTCCTTATATATTGTATATTCTTTCCCAATTTTTTACTATATGCATAACATTTATCTGACTCCTTTATGTAAATATCATATTTTAAACCTGATTTTCATGATTCTGTATATCTATTTTTTAGTTCTGCGTTGATTTGTAATGTAGTAAATTATGAAAGACACTTTCTTGTATTTCAGTTAGTTAAATATCATATTTATGAAAGATATTTCATTGTATATTTTTAATACCTTAGTTGTTTTTCAAAACTAGGTATCCCGAACCCAGTACCGTACTCATATCCATGCAACTTAGACTCCTGATTTTATTAACGTATCTTGATTGCGTGGCATCTTGATTTTTATCAATTTCCCTTATGCCTGTGTCATGTCGTATTCACATCATACTATGCATCTAATCTTCATAGATACTTAACTAAACAAAAGGTCGTTGAGAAATATTGTAATACATTATTAATTAATATCATTATTATATTTCCTTGCAGCATTGATACAGATAACTATGGAAATAATTTTGCATTGGGACAGCGTAGTATGTTCTCTCAGAGGGATTATTTTCCCATGTAAGTTGAACAAAATTTCTATTTCCTTTGGTTGATATCTGGCGAACTACAATCTGTTTTACGTCGAATGTTATTTAGTCAACTTTTCAATTTTGATCCCTTGTTATGTTAATTATTATTATTATTATGCAAAAATTTAAGTTAGTTTGTTAATGCTGCTTGGCTATGATATTTGCTTTGACGGTTATATGAGCCAGAATTTCTTCTGTCCTTGGTAACTATTGAAAGTATAGTTTTTGTTTTTGCCTCCCCAGTACATATATATTTTCTGTAACTTTTAGGGCTTTATAAACTATGCATGAAAACCATCAAACCAGACTGCACCTAATTGAAATTCCATTTGATTTTTTGGTTCTTGACATAGAAATAGAACATCTTTAATAATGTGTTGAAGAGTTCGATTCTTGTTGCCAATGCTCATAATCCAAAACACATTACATTTCTGCTTAAGGCAAGGTGGGCTTGGGTCACAGGTTCTGACTTTAGGGCTTTTTTTTGGGCGGGTTAGGTATATAAATAAAAACTGTTGTGAGCTTGTTTTTACCCGCCCCTCCACGAAGCTTGGTTTTCACAGTTAAAACCTTTTAACTTGGTTGTTTTTTATGACAACTTATTTTTGGTTATTGGGCATTTTTATCAGTGCCACTCTTCAAAGCTTGGTTTTCACAGTTAAAAGCTTTTAACTTGGGTGTTTTTTATGACAAAATATTTTTGGTTATAGGACATTTTTATCAGTGCTGTATTGATTGATAGCTGTTGAAAGGAAATTGCTTGATAATGTAATATAATGTGATATTATGCAGTTTTGATGAATCATTTGAGGAGGTTATTTATCCGAAGGGGGAACCTGATGCTGTTTCCATTAGTAAGAGAGATGTTGCACTTTTACAGCCAGAGACATTCCTCAATGACACTATCATTGACTTTTATATCAAGTAAGTATGACGGAAGAAATTGTAACTTTCTGATGGATTCCATAGATGATGCGCTAACTAACTCCAATTGTCCTGTTCAGAAAGTAGTGTTTACCCTCTATTTGTCTCTCATATATGCACATACATGATCTTTTATAATTTCATCACTTGTACTCTTTTCCATCCCTTAGCCTGAAAGTTGTTTAATTTATTATTCTTGATAGTGTTGATTGCCTATTTGTTTCACCATTTTCTTTTCAAATAGAATAACTCAAAGACCTCTTTATTTGAAGCTTCATATGATTGGCATTTGCTGAATCTGGTGTATTTGTAGGTATTTGAAAAACAAACTTTCCACTGATGAGCAGAAGAGGTTTCACTTTTTCAATAGCTTCTTCTTTCGAAAGTTAGCTGATTTAGATAAAGATCCTTCAAGTGCTTCTGATGGCAGAGCAGCTTTTCAACGTGTACGTAAATGGACAAGGAAAGTTAACCTTTTTGAAAAGGATTATATCGTGATTCCTGTAAACTACAGGTAAGAGCCTAAAACAATATTTTGCTAGCAAATATGGTTTCTGCAGCATCTTTAGAATTATTTATGTATCTTGATGACAGTCTTCACTGGAGTTTGATTGTCATCTGTCATCCTGGGGAAGTGCCGTGCTTCAGAGGCAAGCTATCTTTCACTTAAGTTGTTATTTTGTGGTTTATTTGAACGATCTTTCATTTAAGTTGTTATTTTATGGTTTATTTGGACGATCTTCATCTTATTTGATTTTCTTGTAGATGAAGAAATTAAAGAATCTTCCAAAGTACCTTGCATCTTGCACATGGACTCTTTGAGAGGACATCATAAAGGTCTTAAGAATGTTATCCAAAGGTAGCTTGCTGATAGCCTAAATTTGACAAAAAATCAATGTCTGTTTTATAGTGTATGATAAATCGGATGTCTGATAACAAAGATTCATTGCCTTTTTTTTTTCCTCTTCAGATTTTCATTCCATGCAAAAATTGATGTTCTGCTTTGATGGCCCAAATTTTGGGCTGTTTAATTTAATGCGTTAAGATGCCTTATAAGGCCCAATTCATCTCAAATCCAATCCATTTGGCCCAACGTATCTAGGGAAACAAATGTACCAATGACCAGTCGTTAGGATTTTGAAAACTATTTTCATTCTCGAGAATATCTGCATGAAAATGTTTTCATGTTTAGCACATCATCTAAAAAATTTCCAATCCAAAAGTTTTGCTCAACATTCACTCACTTTCATTCTTCTGGGGGAAGGTGGGTATGCTGCTTTCCCATGGTACGGTAACACTTTCTAGTGTCATTTTACCAAACTGTTGCCATTTCTTTGACCGTGGTGACCACATGCCATTGTCTATCACTGCTGGTAGTGGTTTCTGATTTCTAACTGCCATTAAATGCTACTGGTGATTGACAATGACCAGTAAATTCTGCCTCTATCCTTGACCACCATACCAGAATCCAGCTTCCATCACATTTCTCCAAAATCCAGTCATTCTAAGTGCAACTGCATTCTGCTACTCCGCTGTTGCTGATCACCAGAATTCAGCTATCCTCTGTTATTGCCAATAGTTTGACTGTTGAGTTTGGTCAACTTCATTAGTCACAAGTCTTGTCACCTACACCTGACAACAGTTAAGAGTGGCTGGCGACTTTTGCCAGTATGCTGATCACTGATAAACAGAATCCGACAAACAACCCGTCACTGTCGATGATCAATGTCATTCATCGTTAAATTAAACTAATGGTTACCTTGCAAGTTATTGAGGCATTGACATTGGAAGTTTCATAATTGATGTTAGCTTGTATTAAAACTTTGTCTGAAGAACCATGAGTCTGGATGGTTTACAAGGCTTTTTTGGCTGAGTTATTTCATTGAGCCACTGCAGAAAATTGTATTAACCCAATATAGTAAAAATAAAACTAACAAAGTAAATGCTTGTTTGAGTGAATTGCGTTTGTTTTCTGTCATCGCAGAGTCTGACACTGCTTTCTTCCATATATTGTATAATGGCAGCTATCTTTGTGAAGAATGGAAAGAGAGACACCCCAATATGGTGGATGATGTTTCTTCTAAGTTTTTACAGCTGCGGTTCATCTCACTAGAGGTAGCCTCTCTCCATATGAATCTAACAAATTCAGTTCAAATTTTTATTGACTTCTGTTTTTCCTTCCATTTTTTTCCAGCTTCCTCAGCAAGGGGACTTGTATGATTGTGGTCTATTTTTGCTTCACTACGTGGAATGTTTTCTGGGGGAAGCTCCTATCAAATTTAACCCTTTCAATATAACGAAGTACTCCAATTTTGTGAGTGACTTTGTATTGGACTAAAACTTGAATCTTATGTGATATAGTCTCATTTTGAAATTTCAATGATATGATGTTGACTCTTCATTTTAATTTTATATTTCAAGCATCACTATTGTTATTGGTATCTACCATTCATGATTTTCTAATCCAATTCCATTAAGCGATATGTGAAATGAGAATTTTAGGACAATCATGACAATATTTTTGCTGCTATGATCCTCTGTTTTTTCATGGATTTAGGAAGTAAACTGCAACTGAAATAGCATTTTCTGAATATGTTGGTCTCAAACATTGTTTAAGTATTTTACTAGATAAGCCGTTTAATTGCATAATATACATGGATTGTAAGCAATAGTGTATAATTGTTCCTTGGTGCAGAATTTATTACATAAATGCACGAGTTATACTTTTATTGTGATACTTCATTCTTTTCCCTCACGCCCCTTCTCCTGACGGTTGTAAGGCACTTGTATGCTTAAAATGTTGCATACACTGTCGTATTATATTTTTTTCTCGAAGTTGTCGCATCAGATTGTGTCTGGTGCTACTGCTCAATCATACTTATGAATAAACTGGCTTTCAGTTGACTCACATTTGAATTTTTTTTTCATTCAGTTGACTAGTAACTGGTTCCCTCCGCTTGAGGCTTCTCTGAAAAGATCTCATATACAGAAATTAATTTATGATATATTTAAAAATAGTTCTTTGCAAGCCCCCCCTGTTGATTGCCATGACAAAGGTCCTCTGTCTTCAGTGTCTGACGTTATTGAGTCCAGAGCAGAAGCAGGTCCATCTGGAGCAAGCTGTTATCCTATTATGTGGGATGGGAATCCTTCTAATGTCTCTACCGAGACTGATATTCAGTTCCCAATTGTTTCACCCGTAAGAGGTGCATCATGGGCGAGGGAACCTGAAATTATTTTCAAGGATTTGCAACTACCAGCTGTATCTCCACATTTCGATTGTGGACAGATGTCAGTGTCTCATCAAAGAGGATTCATGTCACCAATAGAGGTATTTTAGTCGTTGCTTTGATTGATTACTGTAATTATTTCATAGCTATTTATCTGTAGTATATTCCATCTTTGCTGGAACGGGTTTTTAGGCATTCTACTTGACATTTAATCTACCATGAAGCCACACACATTTTTCTGTCGACCATCCGTAGAACTTGACGTATCTTTTGATGCAGGAAACTGAAGTGTTTGGTGATGAAAATGCTATATCAATAGTGAGAACAAATTCTCAAGTAGGCACTTCGGCATCGGATTTTCCATCCACATCATATATAGGTAAAGATCATAGAGATCCAGAAACAACACAGCAGGGATTCTCTATGAATTTTGTGGAATCTGTCGATGACCTTTCATATTCAAAAACTGCTAGTATACCTTGGGACAGATTGGATTCAGGCATTCTTGAAGACCAGCCTCTGGAGAAAATTGAGGAGTCTAACATTCCAAACAAGATAGCACTTGAGGAGATTGCAGACTCTGTTGTTCTTGATTCTCAAGATTCAAATGACGGGCATGATGTGGGTGTGAAATCAAATTCCGCACTCGGAGAAAATTTAAATTCTTTCACCCATCAAATATTGGACTTTGCTCAGAATACTACTAGTGTTGGGGATGATAGTCTACTTGGCAAGAGAGAGCCACCACTAACATTCGAACCTCAGGAATATGATGACAAAAGACGGAAGCTTATGGATGAATCAGATGGTCCAAGTCGACGATTCACAAGGAGGATGTCGAAAGAACCATGCTTAATATAATATCATGTGAATAATAGTATTAACAACAGTGGAAAATGTTACAGGGAAATTAGATATTAATATCTGGAATTGAAGACCGAGGAGGGTAGAAGAGAAATATGAGTATAGACCAACATGTGGCCCTTGATTAGTGAATACTTTTGCGTAGACACATGCCTGAGTTGCTTCACATCTGCAGGATGACTTTTAAAAATGTGGATATTTTTTTCTTAGTTTTGGTGGGACTAGCAAAGTATAGTGTGAATATGTCAAGTGTGACATAGAAAATTGGATGATGACGTATCACCAGAATGGGTGATTAATTCGTAGGACAGTTTTAGGCTCTTTTTGGTATCTCCAACTAGTTAGATTATAGTTTATTGGATAAACCATCAATTTAGTCTTTAAACTAGTACTATATTTTCAATTTATTCTATTTTAAATTTAATAAGTCTTCTTAAATATATAAAATCTGTCAATTTATTCCTTGATATTAAGATGTTGGAGACCTAACACCATTCACTTGATCAAATAAGCATATAAACTTGTCCAATTCAATTTAGTTTTTTCTTAATTATTAATTATTAATTTTTTAAAAACATTTTAAAAAAACACTACACCTAAAAACCAAAGGATTTTTACATAAATATTTTAATGTCAAAATATAATTTCTTATATAAACTAATTGTGAGATTGAAAATTTTACATTTATGTTTCTCATGTTTTATTAAATTATGTTTAGGAACTTTTTATTCTTGGAAAAATGATCTATTCATCAATTTTTTACTTTTATTTTATTTCACTTTATTATATTAACTATTAATAAAAGATATTACACCTATAAAGTGAACAATTGCATATATTTTTTGGAAACAATATAAATATCAAAAGAATTGCTATGTCTCATAAAAATATCTTATTTGAATTAAAACTTATTTGAATTAGACACATGTACGATTTAAAAAAAAAATATTAATTTTAATAATAAAATTAATATTATTTATTATAATATTTTTATTTATTGTAGTCAGTAAAGTACTTAATAGAATGCAAATAAAATACATCTTTAAAGTATACTAATTGGTAATTTCATATTCCCTCAACAACAATGATTCATTTCATGATTCTAATGCATATTAAAATAATTCTAATACAAATTAAAATAATGAACAATTACTTTTAAAAATAGAATTGTATTAGTAAAATTCACATCAATACATAGATGGTAAGTTATTGATGGTGTTTATCTGCAATTTTTTTATCCATTACGGAGAATATGTCTTTTTTATCTACATTTTTCTGATTGATTACGTCCATTGTTCTTCACCCTTTATTCAGGTGAAACAATCACTTTGTAGTTGCAAGATGATTCTACACTACACAGAGAATTGAAAGAAGAAAACAATACAATTAGTAATGAAAAAAGAGACTCTGAAGGAAGAAGAAGAATGTATTATTATGCAAATTGCACTCTAAGTGTATGCTACAATGTGTGTTAATCACATCTCTGATTTCTGAAATTTAACAAAGCTATTACAAAACTTGTTATTCTCACTTGCTTTCTTACAAGAAATATAACTCCCCTCTATTTATAGATTAGATTACTTGCACTTCAAGTAATCACAAAATAACTAACTCTACTAAAACTAAGCTAAGTCAGTTTATTTCGACTTTGTCAACTCCTTCGACAACTACATGCTTTGACTGCATGCTTCGACAAGCTGTATTTGACTTTCTGTCAAATACAATTAATACAGACTCTATTCGAAGGATGATATTTCGACATAGGCACACACACAAACACCTTTCGACACCGTCAAAGACAAACACCTTATTTCGAATTTGACACAAGGAATTATAAATTTAACACATCACCTAATTCATTGTGTCTAAGATTTCTACGTTCATCATTATTTTTAATCTCTTGATCAATTTGACCTGCATAGCCTTCGTCATTATATCTGCAATTTGATTCTCTGATCTGCAATGCTTTAGGCTCAACTTTCCATTCGCTACCTGATTTCTCAGGTAATAGAACCTCATTTTGACGTGTTTTCTTCTTCCGTGTGCTATCAGATTCTTTTCCAGGTTGATAGATGACATGCTATCGATCTTCATGGTCATTGATCCATGATTATTTCAAATAATTTCATCGAATAGATTCATCATCCATGTTGCTTGGCATGCGCATAGGGAAATTGTTAAGTATTCACCCTCACATGATGATAAAGCTACCACTGGTTCCTTTCTCGAACTCCATGCGACCGACGCACCACCCAACCTGAACACATATCATGCTGTCAATTTTCTATCTTTAGCATCACCACACCAACTAGAGTAAATATAGCCTACGAGCTTGCATTCTTTTTCTTCATTAACTGAAGAAAACAAAATACCATAGTCGAGTGTTCCTTTAAGATACCTTAGTATCCTCTTGGTGGCTGCAAGATAAGATACCTTTAACTTCTGCATGAACTTGTTGATCATGCCTACACAATAGGCTGAATCTAGCCTTGTGTGACAGAGAAATCTAAGTGATCAAATGAGTCTTTTGTACTGTGCTGAGTCGATATTATCCTCATCTGAGTCATTCAATAGTTGCAATAACTGTTGGTGTAAGCCTTAAAGGCCAATACTTTTGGTACTTGTATCAAATAATTTATTAATAATAAAAAGTATTTCTTTATTATGTTTGATTTTCCAAAATAGTAAAGTCCCTAGAATAACAAACCCGTTTAATGAAATATTAAGTGTGACTTAATCATGAAATCTCATTAAATATAAGGACATTATTCTTAAAGTATCTGTAGTCGAGATTTACTGAGAAGCGAGATTACCTTAAAGCATTAAGACTCTTATGTAGATAGACTGATGATCATATATCATGGATAATGGATAATGAGTTATTAAGTCTTAACATAGGTATGAATATTAGAAGTAATATTTATACTGGATTGACCTGCTATGCGAATATTACATAGAATGTCATGCAAAGTATCATAAGTTAGTCTCATGGTGATAACGGTGTATACCACCCTTCGACCTGAAACCACTATGAGTCCTAGATGTAGATTTGAGTATTTTATTGCTGATCAAACATTATTCGTAACTGGATGACCATAAAGACAGTTGATGATTACTCCATAAAGCATGCTGAGGGACATGAGCAACCTAGATGAAATTTGCCCATCCTGCATAACATGATAAATGTCTAAGGGCCCAATATTGAACCAGACAAGGATGACACGATATATGCGTTGTGTTCAATATAGACATAAGGACAAAAGGGTAATTGTACACATAAGTATTATCACAAAAGATTTTTTCAGATTACATGAAAGTTTCCTCACTTGGATAGCAGTAATGTGTTGTTAGATATCACTCACTATTTATTATGCTAAATGCTTGATTTAATATAATTGTCAATGTCGCAAAAACATACAGGGTCACACACATAAGGACAAATTGATAAGAGGTAGAGTAAATAAGGTACGATGCACTTAAATAGAATACGGTACACCATAAGATATGGTGTGCGTGCACTTAAGTGGACTTTTTAGCTTGTAGCCCACACAAGTGGTTATATAAATAGAAAATTTGCGCAGAAGCATTCACACTTGATGAAAATTTGCTCTGTGAAACCCTAATCATATTTTCCTTCTCTCTCACACTCAAAGCCTTCAATCGTAACAACTAGCAATGGGACTGAAGGAATCTGTTCGTGTGGACTGAGTAGAGGCATTGTTCATCATCCAACGCTCATGATCACTCCTTCGATTCAACATCAATGGTTTTATTGCCGCAAGAGGTAACCTTTTCTATCACTGATCATGCCCATTTGTATTGATCACTAAAAGGAAAAATTTAATTTCTGCTGCGTTTTGGGTCGCAATTTTCCTTCAGTGTTATCAGAGCTACTTACAAAACCATGCATCTGATAGCTGTTTATTTTATGTACTTTCTATTTTAATTCGATTAAAACACAAAATAAATTAAATTATAATTGATTAATCGAATTTTGGCATTAGACTGTGTATGCTTTGGATGATCGATATTGACTATATTTCAGAATTCAACATTAGTACGGTGAAGCAGCGATACACCGATCGTCCTTAAGTTACATAAATTTGATCGATCAAATTTTATATGTGCTATAAGTAACTATGGTGCAAAAATGATATATTGGATATATTATTTCTATCTCGTCCATTCAATCACGTAATAATTGTTATTCTTTTGAGCGATCCATGTTCATTTGCTTCGGAATTCGACGTTAGTACGACGAAGCAATGACATGTCGATCAATCATACTTAATTATTGATCATGATGTTTTGATGGTATGAAGTTGTTGCATTAGGGTTCACGACGACACAAGGGTTGTGCTGTAAAAAAGGTATGCGATTAGGGTTGTGATAGCACAAAAGTTGTCCTTTAATGTTTATGGAAAGTATCAAGTGTTGATGCAAAAAATGACATGATAAACTTTTAGGGTACCCACTAGGAATGAGTACAATTGTCATCCATACTCTTCTTACTTCCATAAACTCTTGTACCACATGAAAAGTTTATTACTCACCACCTTTGTGGCGTCATTTACACTCTTGAATGTAACGTTTCTTACTCACCACCCTTGTGGTGCCGTTGACTTTTGATACAAGTAAGTCGATCCCTTTCTCGAACCAAAACCTCATGATACCATGTGTTGGGGGAGTTTTTTTACTAGGGAGAATTGAATATTGTGAGACTACTTTTTGAATAACATCTTTGTAAGAGACACACCCCATATTCACCCAAAACCTTAAGTTGATGGATGAACGAGTTCTCTCACTTATTAAAGGTCCATCAATCACTCTCCAAACTAATAAGTTCTTGTCTAAATAGTAATTTTGATTATGGATTATAAGGAACTTTAGCATACTTTCCACACTTAGTAACCAACATTTCCTTGATCATATCCAACTCGGATATCGCTAACCGTAGCGTTGACTCAAACCAACACAAAAAAGTATTCACATTGTGG